GACACCATGCCTAACCAATCCAAGTAATTTTAATACCTGTATCTTAGAGCTGAGTAATTGAGGAAGTTCTGCTCATAAATTTTCTGTAGGGGATAGTATCTGGTAGACTAGAGGACCTCAGTAAAATAAGGGAGATGCTTTTGAGTGACTGATGAAGAACAGGCATTGGATTACTGAGATTTGTATGTGTGCGCATGTTTGTAGAGGTTCCAGATTTCTTTTTTTTTTTTTTTTTCTTCCAAGTGTTAAAGTTTATTGAGGGCATGAGGGGCTACAAGGGAGGGTGTCTGGGAGTTCGGCCTCACATCTGTGTGGACAGTGGCCCCACGGGTGGCCAGGGATGGGATCTCCACCGCCTGGGTTTATTTGAAGGTGTGACTCTCAACTCCACCCCGTCCAAAGCCTTTGGGCCCCAAACATGGCTGAGTAGCAGGGGTGGTTGCAGTAGGGCTTGCCTTCATGCTCGGCATGGCCTCTGGAGGGTCAGCGTCTTCCCACATTTCTCACACTTCAGGCAGGGCCGATGCCAGTCCTTGCCCAGTGAGGTCACCCGCTCAGCGAAGTACACCTCCTTGTCGCACTTGAGGCACTTGGGCATGGCGGCGCAGGTCTGTGATTCGAAGGTTGGGACAGGAGCAGGCTTTCGGAGCGGGACTCGGATTTTCTTAACCTTTCATGATGAGCTGAGGATATAGATGCTGGCTAAGACGACCAACAAGTGGCCTTAGGATTGGGGGTGCTGGTTTGTAAGTGGATATATGCCATCACTACCTTTGCTGGGGCAGGGATAGGATAGAGTGGAAGTTAGACTTGGTGCTTGAAACTTTGGGTAGCACCCAAAAGACCTTAGGACAGAAGCTTCATGCTAAAAGGAGAGGACAGTGGCTGACTTGCCTTCCTCTGTATTTCTTTTGTCCCACCATTTTCTATTATTCTGCCATCATATGTTTCCTAGTTGGTTCTTCAGAGTCCTTGTACTTTCTGCTAGAGACCATCTAATGTCTTTTCTACCTGATGATATTTGCAGTGGACTTTATTAGGATACTGTATTTCACTGTGGCTCTGCTACTCCTGACCAGGCAGCTGGTGACCACTTCCTATAGAGGCCAGCCTGTGAAGCTATAGGCAGCAAAAGCCTTTCCAGCTTGATTTGGCAGCTGGTAGAGAAGACAAGACCAAAGTTTTCAGAAAACAGCAGTTTCTCATACCTCTGCTTTTGAGATGTCACCTGTCACTTGCTCTGTCATTTTCCAGATGTCTCCACTGACATCGAGGTCCAGGCAGATTTGTTTTTCATAGGTTGGAAAAATGCTTCTTTGGATGGGAATGTGCTTTGGAAAATGGGGCAGTTGGACTTGTTTCACATCAACATATGATCTTTTGTGACTCTGGTTGGATTGTCCCAACTTTTTTTTTAAGTCAGTGTCTCACTCTGTTGCCCAGGCTGAGTGCAGTGGCACAGTCACTGAAGCCTCAACCTCCTGGGCTCAGGCAATCCTGCCTCAGCATCCCCAAGTAGCTGAGACTATAGGTGTACCTGGCTAATTTTTTTTGCAGAGACAGGGTCTTGCTATCAGGCTAGTCTCTAACTCTGGGCTCAGGAGTTAACTCCTGGCTCTTGCCTTGGCCTCTCAAAGTGCTGAGATTTATAGGCATGAGCCACTGTATCAGTCCTATCCCAACTTTTTTAATCTGTCCATACGCTGTCCTCAGGACCAGCAAGGCCAAAGGCACTTGGTGGCTGTTTTTACCTGACGTTCCTTTGGACTCCTGGAATTCTTTTTAGTATTTCACTGGAGAAGCTGATCTTGAGAGTTCTTCCTCCGAGGGTCTGTCTGAGTTTGAACCCTTCACCTTTGGTTTTGTCCTCGGAGGTGGCCATGTGCTGTTCACTCTGCACCTGACTCCAGGCCTCAGTCTGCCCACATCATTGCCCATTTCAGATGTTTGAGGAGGAGTGAGTTGGTAACTAGACACTTGCCCTTTGGAGGCGTAGAATCAGAAAGTGCTGTGGGCTATGAAGACGGGGAGACATCTTTTTGGGCTTCCCCTTCTCTGGAGGTAGCTGTACCTCTCTGTACCTCTTGTTGGCACCCTTCATACTAAGAATGTCATGGCAGTCCTGTTGGGTCTCTGGGCCTCTTGCCTCACTTTGCACGTGTGTCTGCCAGGGTTTTTAGTTTTGTTATCACAGCCTTCTGGCTCCCTGACAGTGGACAAGTCACTTAACCTCTGGTTTCAGTTTTTTCATCTGAGAAATGGCATTAAGGCATCCCTCACAGGGTTGTCACAGGGAAAATTAGGTAATGTTATATATACAATTAGTGGATCTTTACATGTGACATACAAGGAAATACTTAACACTAACATTGCTGCCAGTCATGCCTGCCTCCTCTCAGCATTCTTGCTTGTTCTTGGTCAACTGCTCCGCTTCAGGCCCATAGTCTCTTATGTACCATTCTCAAATCCAAAAAGCTCTGAAAACTGATCTTGTTTCACTTTTCATGTCGGCAGCCTGGCCTGACCTGACGGCTGTGTACGTGTTAGCTGACCGGCCCATCAAAGGTGCTATCATGCTGGGACTATTTGAGCATGTGAGGGGGGTGCACCCAGACCTCACTGTATGAACTAGTGGGCAGAGGCCTGCAGGACCCTTTGTTGCCTTGGGGCTGGTGGTGGCCAGCTTGCCTGTGAGCAACCATTCAGCCCGGGTCCTGACCCCCCATGTCAGGGTCTCCTCGAGGGAGGTGAGTGTGACCAAGGGTCCCCAGCAGCCAGGGCAGGGCAGAGGGGAGATGAGGCTGGATGGAACCCGTTCCTCTTTGGGCTTCAGAGCAACTGAGTGGGATAGAGACCCAGGACCACAGCGTTCTGAGGTGGCCCTTGGGCCGACGGGGCCTCACTTCTTGAACTGTGGTCTGCTGGGAAGGGAAATCTGAGAGAAGGATCTGCTTAGGTGTTGACGCCAAAGGAGGGTGGTGGTAGAAGTTTCTTGTCAGCCCCTAGCATGCGGGGCGTGGGGGGGGGGGCGCTGTGTGTGTTGTGGGAGGGATCCCTGCATGCATAGTAACTTTCCTGAGCCCATTAACTCAAACAAAAGGATGGGTTTATTTGTCTGGGGATTCAAGTCTGACAACCAACTAAAATTAAAAGAATGGTACTGGACCTGGGCTGTTTGGTCAGCTGAAAGGGGCTTTAAGTGCTCGGTGCCAGTTAGTTCACATGGGTTCAGGGAGAAATTCCTCACAAAGGAACTAAATTTCTCAGCAAATTCATGCTCTTCAGAAGGATGCTTCAGACAAGACAAACTCTCCCAACCTGATCTTTCCCACTGCAGATCCCAGGTGAACAGGGGATCTCTGCAAATAGTGTCCTTGGCAGCTAGCTTAGGGGCTCCACCGTGAATCCTGGGTTTGCAGAGGCTCTGGGGCTGGTGGCCAGGAGGAAAGGACCAGAGGGCAGGGACTATGGCTGTGTCTTCCTGGCTTTAGTGCCTTTAGCATTGCCCTCTGTTTGCCTACCTATCCCTATTCTCTGAGTCACAGGGCAAGAAGCTCCTGATGCTCATTTAGGGAAGGTCTGAGAAGTCAGAGGATCTGAAGATTACTCTCCCATCCTCCCTGAACTGGGTTGGATTTGTTGAGCGTGTTCTCCATGCTCAAGCCGCCTTATAGAGACAGCAATAGATAAGACCCCCTTGATGAGTGCCATCCTGTGCCTGTCTCCCCTACCACCACCACCACCACCACACACACACACACACACAAACACACACACACACACACACAAAGGGAAGACCAGAGCAGGAACAGATGATTACAATTAGGGGTTCTATAGCCAGGGCTCACAGGAGGGGCACAGAGGGCTCCAGAAGAAAGCCACATGGCCGGGCTCGATGGCTCAGCCTGTAATCCCAGCGCTTTGGAGAGGCCAAGGTGAGCGGATTGCCTGAGCCCGTGGGTTCGAGACCCGCCTGGGCAACTTGGCGAGACC